CAGCAGAAAAGGCCCTCTGCCTAGACCCCACCAATCGAAATTCCTTGACCGGTGGGGTCTGAAACCTGCCCCTTCTGCTGGACCTAGTGGGGCAGGCTGAAATAACTGGGTGAGGCGGTTCCTCAGTTAACCTGCTCCTGTGCCATGAAGGGCTTTAAAGGTGGTGAGCAACACCTTGAATTGGACCCAGAAACAAACTGGCAACCAATGCAGCTCACGCAACAGTGGTGTTATATGTGCCCTCCTAGGGGCATTCAGAACTGTCCGCGCCGCCGCATTCTGCACCAGCTTATATAATTTGCACGATGATGTCATGAAGCACTTCTCCCCCCTCCCCAATGCACACGGAGCAGGGCCTCCATTCAAATTGCTTTACAAATATAACCTGATCGACTATTCCCTGCTCAGGTATACATTTATGTGGATGCTGTTGTCAACCATATGTGTGGGGCTGCTGCTGGATCTGGCCACTATTCTACATGTGGAAGTTACTTTGATTCAGGGAAGCGAGATTTTCCTGCTGTACCCTATTCCGGGTGGGACTTCAATGATGGGAAATGCAAAACTACAAGTGGAGAGATAGAAAATTATAATGACCTTTACCAGGTACATTTCTGAATTCATTATATATATGCATTCTGTTCTTTATTCTCTAATGGTGACACATTTGATATCCGTCATGCCAGGCGACTCTGCATATGAACAGCATCATGTTTAAGCCAGGTTTATGGCACCTGCAGATAGAACGTACAGTAGATACCCAATAACAATATGCTGATCTTTCATGAGTCTATTAGCCAATATTCACACGATTAGCCACTAGTATGAATATGATGCTGAGCATATGGAACTGAATACAAGTAAAATGCATGTACGCGTGTATATGTGTGTGGTTGTCCTAGAATCATGTGTAATCTGTGAGCAGAAGAATAAAACCTTAGAAACACCAACTAGGATTTCTTAGGGAGAATCATACATGCATACATTTTTACTCTCTCTCTCTCTCTCTCCCCGCCC